ACCACATAATACACAATAAATGACAGCTGATGCGCAGTAAAACGTCGCAATGGACCGAACGCGCTATTTCACTCGCACCCGCTGACACATATATCCCTTGCGCTCGCACCTACATTAGACTTTTGATGTGCCTGGCAACATAAAGGAACCACTGAAACTGTCTGGCTATTGAGAAAACATTATTTTATAGTTATCCAAATAACATATATAAATTGCAGCTTTTATACTATACCGTAAGTATAGTAACAATTAAATATACTTTAAGGGTGTCTGGCAGAGGTTTGGAACCGTACGAAGTGTCTGGCTTTCGGCAAGGTGACTTTTAGGATTATTATAAGTAAAATATGTAAAAACTGAGTTTTATACTTTACCAAATTTAACACACAATTTTACACACCTTTATTACCTGATACCTGCGAAAGCCACCGCGACCCAAGTTACATAGACGGGGTTCGTTCTTACCTGTGTTGGGGACATACATTGAGAAACTTACAGCTTTTATACTTTACCGAAGGCCTGCGGGCCGCTGGCTCTTGCTCTACTATCTTATAGATAAAATTCTCGTGTCACAATGTTATTTACCATACTCCTCCGAAACGGCTTGACCGATTTTTATGAAATTTTATATGCATATTCCATAGGTCTGAGAATCGGCTACCATGTATTTTTCATGTGATAAGGGTTGTCCATCTGTAACGTAGTGTTCTGTAACCTACAATGCGCCTTCGCGCCAAAATTCAAACTATTGGGTATTGTAACGTAGTGTTCTCATATGGGTTAGGAGGAATGTTATCCCAGGAAATTGATAGAACCCTACGTTACACACCCCTAAAAACTTTTTTTTGGACTTCTTCTTCTTCTTCATGTTCCTCTCCAATTACTGAAGATTGGACATCAGCCTTGAAAACCTCGCTTTGTCCCTGGCGAGGTGAAACCGCTCTTGACACCGGTCCACTCGCGGATGCTTCGAAGCCACGACTTTTTCCGACGGCCCACTCGACGTTTCCCCGCAATTTTGCCCATCATAATGAGTTGCAGTAAATCGTATCTCTCGTGTCTGAAGACATGACCGAGGTAGGCAACTTTTCTTGGTTTGATGGTCTGCATCAATTTGCGAGTTTGACCGACACGTCTTAGAACTTCGACATTTGTAACTTTTTGAGTCCAGCTGATTGAGAGCATGCGTCGGTAAGTCCACATTTCAAAAGCCTCAATACGTCTACGAAGGTCCTCTTTAATATTCCAAGCTTTGCAACCATAGAGGACTATAGGCCAAATGTAGCATTGAAGTAGACGAGTGCGCAGGGGAATACTGATATTGCGATTGGACAGTATTGATCTCATTTTGTTAAAAAAGCATTGCGGGCGATCTCTATTCGTGTTTTTATTTCCATATCACTACGTCAAGCTTTGCTCCGGAGACATTAATATTTGGAAATTATTTCCTTTTGAGATGACCATGACTTTTGTCTTTTGTGTGAAAGAATGAATCTTAGTCCCGCCTTTAAACTGCACTCATTCAAGCGGTCCACTATCATCTGAAGATCCGACTCCGAAGACGCCATGAGGACAGTATCATCAGCATACCGGAGGTTATTGATAACACGCCTGTTAACTTTCATACCGCAGTCTAGATCTGTCAAAGCTTCAGATATAATAGCTTCAGAATATAAATTGAAAAGTGTGGGTGACAGAATACAGCCTTGTCTAACACCTCTTTTGATGACTACGTCGTTGGTTTCTTCGCCCTCGACACGAACAGAAGCACGTTGGTTCCAGTACAGATTTTGAATAACTCTGTGTCTTTTCCGTCGAGTCCTATGTCGCTTAAGATGCACGTTAAACCATCGTGAAGAACTTGATCGAACGCCTTCTCGTAATCTATGAAGCAGAGGTAGACGTCTTGCTGCATATCTTTACATTTCTGTACTAGAACCTGTACAGCAAACAGTGCTTCTCGTTTACCTACTCCGGCTCGAAATCCAAATTGGCTATCACTAAGTTGTTCATCACATCTTACTCTTATGTGTTCGTGTATGATAGTGAGGAATAACTTGAGCACTTGGCTCATAAGACTAATAGTTCGGTATTCCTCACATCTTTTAGCATTCGGATTTTTAGGCAGAGTGACAAATATTGATTTAAGCCCGTCCTCAGGAAATACGCCAGTGTCATACACAAGGTTCATCAGTCTTGTTAAGGCACATAAAATTCAAAAATTCAAAATTCAATATCGTTTATTCAGTCTAGGCTGTTACAAGCACTTGTGAATGTCGCAAATCTACGGCGGGAGAGCTTGTACTGAGAAGAACCGGCAAGAAACTCAGCAAGGGCTGTTTTTTTCTCCCTGTATTATATACAGAGTCGTCAATTTGAAAAATGACTTCAATATGAGATAACTCATGAAGTCACTTTCCATTACAAATGTAAATGATAAAACAATTATGACTATAAAATAAAAAATATAAAAAACAGATTTAAAAATAAAAAAAAGTTTAGGAATGCCGTGTCCTACTGTTTAGGCATAAAAACAAATGCACCATTAAAGTTAAATACAACGATTCATAGCACCCAATGTAGCAAGAGCAGACTCATCTCCGCTGGCAGCACCCGTTCACGAACATGACGCATGAACCAGCCATCGCTTCGCTCAACCATTTTTTAGGGAACGTAACGACCCGCCTCACACGACACCGCCGAAGAGATTTTTAAGAGAGCATGACTACTCATAACCACATATGGATACTAGATAGCAAAATAGGGAAAAAAAATTAAGTACCAGTGTACATTACTATAAAAAACTATAAACACAACTGTAGGACACATGCATGTGATTACCTAAACACTAGTGTCGACTCTGCCACTACTCTCCAAACCATAAATGATCTTGCTCGATTAATTTTAGTATCTCTATGTGAACATCATTCGGGCCTGTTGTTTTAGCTTTATTCAGTGCTTTGGGAACTTCGTCTTTTAGGATAGGATATCCATCTGTGTTACAAGGTGGTGGGGTGGCACTTCTTGTATCGTCTGAAAATATTGCTGAGATGTATTGTTCCCATAGGTGGTTCTTCTGAGTCAAGTCAAGCACTGGATGATTATTGTTGTCCCAAAGTTGATATACAGGATTTTTGTGACCAACCATTGCCTTGATCTCTTTCTGAAGATTGAACGCATCATGTTTCCTTTGGAGTTCTTCAAGATTTTCACATTTTTTCCGATACCAGTAATCACGTGTGCATAACGAACTTCACGGCGAATTTTCTTATCTATAAGATTGTACTTTTCTTTGTCAGCTTTAGACAATCTTCGCTGTTCCATAAGTTCGAAAATCTTTGTGTTCATCCATGGATGCTTATTAGGTGCCCAACCTTTTGACTCGAGAATTTCGTTGTTAACTTTATGAACCCTAAATTTTAAATTAAACCAACTTTCTTCCACCGAATCAGACAACTCCTGTTTGGCCATTGTCGCCCCCTCATTGATTTCATTAGAAACCATAGCCCGAACATGTGGTTTCTTAATCAGTGCTATATTAGTACTTTTCCTTATTTGTCTCTTATGTATTTTCTTAAGGATGCGTGACAACTCAGCAACAACAGGATTATGGTCTGATCTGATATCGGCCCCAGGATAAGTTTTAGCACTCTTAATGCTATTACGGAAACGTCCGTTAATCATAATATAGTCAATTTGGTTCCGCATTATGTGTTCAGGAGTATGCCGAGGTGACGTCCAAGTATACAATCTTCTGGCTGGTAATTGGAAGTAAGTGTTCATTATTGTCAATTCTTGCTCTTGACAAAATTGGACAAGTGTATCTCCTGTTGTGTTTCTTATATCAAGACCATATTTTCCAACGATTCCCTGGACTTCACCTGCTCCTACTTTCGCATTCATGTCACCCATAACTATATTAATATCATGTTTCTTTAAAATGTTAAGCAAACTTTCTGTTTCGCCATAAAACTCTTCTATATCCTGGTCTGACCCATCAGTGGTTGGTGCATACAGCTGAATAATATTGATGTTCCTTGGTTTGGCTTCTATTGATAAGAGGATGCATCGGTTAGATTTCGGCACAAAAGTGACTGGGGCTTTTACGCTTTCCATATTAATTACTACTCCAACTCCATGCAAATTCGAGGAGGCCTCCGACCCAGAGTAATACATAATGTGGCTTGCATCTATTTCGTGATTTCCACTGCCCCGCCATCTTACGTCGCTCAAACCCAAAATGTCAATGTTCAGACGTTCCATTTCCTTTGTGACATTATGCATCTTCTCAGGACTTTGAAGACTTCGAACGTTCCATGTGCCTATTCTAAAGGTCCGCCCGGAGATTCTTCGCACCCCTGTCCCATCAAAGGGACGCCGGGCACTCGGGGCCGTGATTTTTATTGACTTTATCATGACTGATTTGACTAGGGAAAAATAGTGTGTGATATTAAAAATACATACAACCCTAAATTTTCTACCACCACTCTTCTACCACCTGTCTCTATTTTTATGGCGGTACGAAGTTCACTGGGTCAGCTAGTAATATATATAAATTACGCGTCACGTTATTTGACCGGGATGGACTTCTGAACTGCCTAACCGATATTAATCTAATTTGCACACCGTGTGCAGTTTGGTCCAACTTGAAAGATGGGATAGCTTACATCTAAATTTATAGTCACAGTATTATTTTATTGCAAAATATTACTTTTGGGCGGTACGAAGTTCGCCGAATCAGCTAGTATCAATGTATAAATTAACACACATTATAATAATGATAAATGCTATAGAAAAAAATACCTTGTGACAATATTTTTGGCAAGACTAGGTATTTATCTAGAATATGTACTTATAAACGGGACCTCTGAATATAGGCGACACCTTGAAAACATACATAACACTATTCTTAAAATTATCAGTTTATTTTGCCATTAGCAAATATGCAGGTATGTTTAAGAATGTTCCAATATTTTTTATAATAATTGTTGTTGTGCTTTCAGAATGGACCTGATTGGTTTTGCATAATAGTAGGCTTTAAAAATGGTAATGTTGCATTTTATACTGATACTGGCCATTTACTTTTGTCTGAAAAGCTGGATGATAAGCCAGTTATGAAAATTACCTGTCACACTGGAACTTATGGCACATTACCGGATGATATACATATATTGTTTCAAACATCTCAATGCATTATTTCGGGATCGACTTTGTTTCAAACATTAAGAAATGCAAAATCACAACTAGCCAAGGGTAATTTATTTAATTTTATATAGATTCTATTTAAGTTAACATTAATCTTTTTCTGTTTAATTCATATTATCAAACCTGTTATTTTTATTAATTTAAAAGTAATTGCTGATTCATTGTGATGCAGGTTGCTGTAGTGATCACTGGAATTCATAATATAATTATATACATCTTAATATAAGAGGGTATAAATTCAACAAGACATTAATTCAACAAGATATTATTTTTCCGTTTCAATATATACCTATTCCTTAAGCCTTATACATTTATCATATTTTGAAATAACTGTTATACATTTGTAATTTTTTGTCAAGCCCCTTAAAATGAATAGTAATTGCAGACTTCAATTCTTCGTCATGATTATTGTTTCCCCCAAAGCTCTCCCCAGTTTTGGAAATAAATAATAATCATAATGGGCTTAATATGGACTATGGGGAGGGGATAGCGAAGGGTGCGGATTCAAGTCCCGTCTGCTGCCTGGTCCGCGTGGAATTTTTTCCAGTAATTTTTTCTTGCATGGAGTTTTGTTCAAGACACAGGTTCATCGTGATTTCTTCATCTTCGGTAACAATGAAATTCACAAATTCGTCTCTGTTCTCGCTATATAATTTCAAAAACTCTTAGGAAAACTCATCGCGCTGTTGGTTTTGAAGCGGCATGAGCATTTTCTACATTCATCTTGCACTGACCTTTAACATGCCAATATATGTTTATGAAGAATGTTCAAAATCATTGCATTGCTGATGATACTTTGACCATTTCTGCGAACTAATTGAAGAAATGGTACTTTTAAAAGGCGCATCTACCAGAATAAGTTTCTCTCCTTTTTCGACAATTTCAAAGAAGGTCGCTTAGATTGGCTGTTTGGTCTTCAGTCGATTCTCTACCCTACTTGAAAATGCTACGCTACTTGAACTATGCTACTTGTAAATGATCGTTTTACCAGGGCAAGGAACTCCGTAAACAGAGAACATCTCTTCCATAACGATCTGTGGTGTTTTTCCTTGCTTTGTGAGGAATTTAATCGCGGCACGCCACTCGTTTTTCTCCATAGTTTATGCTCTCTTCCCGATTGGTTATTTGGCATGGGCTTGTTCATTTAGTCATAACTAAAATGACTCGATAGGACTGAACTTGGGTTTTATTGCTGAATTGTGATGACAAGTAGTAATAGGTTCAAAAATTCCCCCGTACTCCCCTCTATTCCGCGAACTTTATGACCTTTCGTCGCATAAACGAGAGTTCACGTAGAAGCTTAATCTTGCCCATTTTTTTATATCATACTACCAGCAATGACAAAAGTCAGCAAAGTATTTTCACAATTTTGTTTTCTTTCAGTTCAAGCTGGTATACAAGCTGAATTTAACATTGACACTCGCAGTATAAATATACGTAAGTGGTCTTTTTCTGATCAGGAAGTCATTCAAGATGCTGCCGTTGTGGGTCTAGAGCTGAAGAACACATATGATCATTTGTTGGCAGCATCCACATACGGAGGATATGATACCTGGTTAGTGTTAAACTCGATATAAATATATATTATTCTAGATTATTTTTGCTTGTTAATTTAAGTACAAGTGGTGGGTGCCCGCGAATTGTACGCAAACTATTTCTGTATCAAAATTCATCTCAATCAGTTCAGCAATATAAGCGTGAAGAACAGGCAGGTAGACAGAAAGAAAGACAGACAGACATACACACTCATTTAATAATATCGTTGTCGTAAAGCGAAAAACCAGTTAATCGAAATTAGTTGATAATAAAAAATCTACTCAGGTTTTCGTGTCCGAAAAGTCGATTTTATCAACTAATTTTACTGGTTTTTTGCTGAACAACGACGATATTTTCTTTAGATTAAAACATCGAGCAGTTACATGCTTAAAAAATAAAAATTATAACTATAATTGCTATTTCTTCTATCAAATGTTTAATGCGTGTAAAGGTATTCATTTGACATTGTGGGTTACCTACAATGTGAAAGGGATGGCGCTGCCTTGCAGCTTAAGAAAGGCTAGAAAGAATTCGACACCGCCATCAGGGCCGCGGTAGCATATTGGAGGAAGATAAAGAAACTACTCGAATCTTCCGCTAGCTCGTCATTAATAAATGCCACCCCGACACTAAAATCTCACCTCTCGCGACCCTCTACGCGATCGCAGGCCTCTCTTTCCACCTTACAACCGCAATAAGCGAGGCGTCCCCGCAGGTTCCAGCAATAACAGACCTTCACTTTATATTTTTTTTAAACCATGAACAACAACGCTGCTTATGTAATAAGGTCCTATTTTTATTTAAAACATTCCCGGAGGTATATATTTTCAGGTACCGGTCTGTACCTCCAGTAAATTCCCTTATACTTGGTGCAGGCACGAAACCTTATGTTGGTTTCCATTACGCTTTAGAAGGAGGAACGACTCCACCACTTCAAGATGTTGCAAGAGCAGTAGCAAACAAAATAAAGTCTGCACTACCGTAAGTATAAATAATGAATCTATGTGTTTATATGTAAGACTTAGTTGCACTAACTGTATTTAATGTCGTTGCATTTCGTTTACAGTGGTTGGTTAGGTGGAGGAAATTCAGAAACTGCGACTGCTAATACAGAATCGCTTGTTCGATCAGAATCTCTTTCATTGCGTAATGGGTTACTTGACGCTCAAAGACAGGGAGCTACGGTAGCTGTATCGCCCGATCGGCGATTGGCTGCTTTCACTGACAATTTTGGAAGAGTTGCAGTGTTGGATATTAAAAAAGGGCATTTGATTAGAATGTTCAAAGGATATAGAGATGCACAATGCGCATTTGTACAGGTATTGTATTATTAATAACATTAAGCATAAACATAGGCATAACAAGCGGTTAGACTCATTTTTGATGAAAGAACAACAATATAATAAGAACAAATTAAAGTGAGTATAAAAATACAAATTAATCTTGCCAAAAAGCTTGCTTATTTATTTTCCAAGATACTCCAAATAAAATGCTAAATTACACTTTCAAATTAATGAAACCTCAATCTGGTGATAAAAGTTTAAGAAAAATCTCTTAGATGCCCTTTTTTAACAAAAGCTTTATTTACTTCTCTAATGAAGAAGATAACAAACATACTAACAGTATACATACTTTGAACATTCCAGATTTTCGACGTAGATAAAAAGACACCTTATATGGCTGTTGTCAAGGAAATCAAAAGAGCTACATTTTTGATCATATATAATCCGAAGAAAGGTTTAATAGATATAAGATTGATGCAAAAAGGTAATAGAGTAGCTGTTTTTACCGCTACTAAAAATGGAAAACTTATCTACAATACTTGCGGATTAGTAGGAGCCGAAAAAAATTATACCCACAAAAAAATCAATTTACCAGATTTTCAATGTGTATTAATAGACCCTGATGGAAAATTGAAAAAAATTAACATTCCTTTTTTCTATGCCTTGGAAGGTGAATATTCTGAAAGATCAAAAGACTTGCACACTCTACGCGACTTACGTGAACTTATAAAGAAAACACCTAAAAAAGCAGAGGGCCATGAGGAAGAAATAATTAAGAAAGCTGCAGAAATTAATACTTTAGATCTGAAAAAACACTGTTTAGAAATGTTGATAAAAAGTTATGAAATCCCTGTGAACATACTAATGTCCTGTTTGTCAATATTTTGGGATAGTTTAAATGACGAAAGTGCACAAGTGCAGGAAATGAAATCCTATTTTGCAAACTTGGGTCTTTTGACTCTATTTTATCTAAATATCAATAATGAGAATACGGATGATATATTGGAACTTTCTAACAAATTACACAAAAGCAAAAACATTAACAGCTTAACGCATATTTCAGAAAATTTGCTAGACGAATTTAATGACTTTCACCTTTTGGAAGATGATAGCTGTATATTAGAACGACTTCTGCTTTTAGTACAAGAAAATGATTACAAAGAACGACAACACGCTAGAGTTACATTTGCAGACAGCCGAACAACATGCTATAAGGAATTTGTTTCTTGTTTTGATTTAGAAACAAACTCGAAATACATAACATTAAAATCTGATACTACTGAAGAAAAATTAAAGAGTTTAGCTACAGACACTTTTGAATCGATTTTCAAAATCGAAAACAAAACTGTGATTAGTGATTTTATCAAAACCAGTTATATTGAACCGAAAAGTATTGTCAAACTCTTAATCATGCATTTAATGGATATGCCATTAGAACAAATTACTATAGAAGTTATCGAAAAAATTGTAGAAATTTTATTCTACGTTTGTCGGGTGGACGATGAGGCCACAGATGTCATCTACAACGATGTATCTCCATGGTGGCAATATATCCGAGATATTTTAGTAGACATGACATGCCCATTACGCAGTTTGATAGTTGCAATGGCTTGTAAAGCAGTCGGTAGAATATTTGAGAGCAAACTTATTGAAAGAGACGAGGATGCATGGGAATCTGTTACTACGGAAAATGCTAAATGGGGAATATTAATTGGAAAATTGGAAGATATTTCCATATTGAGCATCATTTTAATGTTTAAAGATAAATTTAATGGAACGAAAATACCCAAACTACAGTTTAATGACATAAAAATCAATCTTAGATTTATTTATACCAGAGGTAAAGGTTCCGTCACAGAATTAATAGCAAAGTGGCTTTGCAATATGGCAGTTCTACCGGAAGCTGTAGTCGCAAACGAGCTGCTAGAGAGACAGGCATCCAAACATTTTGATCATCTTATCGAAAATGAATTTGATGATAGTATGGATAATATATTCGTAGAAAATCATCGCTTTTTAGTAGACGACAATCCAAAAATCTTTAAATGGCTTTCTTTACTCCGTCGGCAGTTTCCGTTAAGCACAAGAGCTGCATATTTAGTAGCAAACATGTGTTGGGAGTATGCAATAGCTTGGCAAAAGAGCATGCATAACGATGAACTTCAATCAATGCTTTCATGCCTAATAAATATTTCCGATTTGCACTTACGACTTGGTTTGTTTTCAATAATTTGGTCCACATATATAAAACAAACTTTTGAAGTAGTATGTCGATTAATTAACAAGGTTGGGCGATTACCGAAAGATCCATTATGCCTACAAGACGTGGGATTCAACAATGCCCATTTAACAACATTTCTCAAAATTGCAACCGATTTTCTGAGCTGCTTTTTAAAATGCACTTCTATTTCTAATATTGACACAAAAAAAGAAATTAAATATGAAAACATATGGGAAGAGAGTACGCCATCCTTGGTTGAAGTCGCTCAAGATGCCAAATGTGTAGATTGTGATATACTTAATTTGAATTATCAAATCGCCTGCACTATATACTATATGTGTCATTTTAATATTAAATCTTCAAAACCACTTGATACATTATATGATATTGATTATCAGTACATATTTGAAGCACTTGCTGGTAATCCAGTCCACCGGGATATAAGCTTAAAAGCTTCCGAAAAAATAAGAAATCCCAGAATGAAATTTATCACTAAATTAATTCGTGCCTCTATTGAAACCATTTCCCAAATTGAAAGCGAGAGTCCTATTAAAAATTATAATAATGAAGAATGTAATATTTGGATGGAAAAAATTCTAGAATTAGCTGAACTATGGAATATTGAAATCGACTTCGTGAAGCGGCAACAAGTAAGTTTAATATAAGACCAAATTTTACCAGGCTCTATTAGTTATTCTAGCACCTTGTTAAACACTTACCTCCTTTTTAATAAACAAAGAATAACCTTGGATTAGTTACTGTTTTGTCTCTGTTCATTAAATTACAATGAGGAGCTCGATGGCGCAGGCGGTTCGTGCGTTCGGCTGCGATCGTTGAAGTTAAGCAACTTTCGCAGTGGTTGCTCATTGGATAGGTGACCAAAAATCTTCTATCTCGAGTTCCTCCATGCTTCGGAAGGCACGTTAAGCCTTTGTTCCTGGCTGCATCTGCAGTCGTTAGGGGGGTTTAAAGATTTTCAGTGTTTTTAATCTCCAAAAATCGTAAACCTTTTGATGTAAAGCTCGTCCATTGCCTGCAGATATATCATTAAGTTACATCATATATCATGTTTAATACTTATATGTGAAAAAGATATACTTTTTACTATTTGGCGTAACAATTTTTTTGCAGGTAGTTGCCCTGTATCATATGGGCTATGATACACTGGCAGAAAACGAACTAAGTCTTGTGAAAGTACCAGAGTTAGTACTGCAACCGATATCGGCTATTAGTATTCAAAGGTTGAAGCGGAGTCTAGATCAGTCCAGTAATCAACCTGAATGGATTGTGTCTATATCACCAAATCTTTATAAACGTCTTCAAAACACAGTGAGTGTACTGTTCTAGTGTAGTTTAAATAATTCAGTAGTTATAGATAAAAATCAGTCATATTATCGAATGCATCCATAATAATAACTTAACAAAATTAACTTTAACCATTAAGAATAGACTAATATGTATACCTTCATACAGTCACAGTAACCTGTAATTTAATTGTAATAACAAAATATGTCAAACAATATCAATATTTCCCCACTCACACTCGCATCAATCTGCCTTCTTAATATAATATGTATTATAAGAAAGTACAAATCAATAAAAATAAAATACTTATATATTTTTAAAATGGCATGAAAAGAAGATTTTTAATGTTCATCTTAGGCGGTATGTTTCGAGAACGGTCAGAAATAAGAAAAAATGTGTAAAAAAAAAATGTAAAATCGCATTATAAACAACTTTCAATTTTAAGTCGCAATGTAGTAGGAGCAACGAGAAGCGCGATATTCGGGAAAAAGACATTTCTTTACCGTTTTAGCTTTTAGCCGTTTTAGACTCGAATATCTCAGGTGTCTTGTATCTCGCCCATTGCGACGGAGGATAAGGACAGATAGTGAAATAAAAATAGTGTTTGAACTTGTTTTTTTTTTCAGGTATTGGATACGTCTATTCCAGCTTACCCCTCATTGCAAACTACGAAATCGGTGCTCCAGAAGTTACTTTTACAAATAGACGAAAAAACTACTAATTTGCCATCAAATTTACAAAACGTTTACAAAATAACAGAGCTTATAATAGAAAACTGTGAAGTTTTAGTAAAAGTTTAATGTTGTTAATTTTTTTTTTTTAATATTGTGTAGGAACGTGTCTGGATGGGGTTCATTCGCTATTTTTTTTCTTTTTGCTTGCAGCGTTATCTATTGATTTGTTTAATGAGCAAATGATATCAATGTGTCGTTCGATTTCGATTAGGCTCAGACTTCACACACTTTGCGTATTTTTTGTTTAAATGTTGGCAGTTATTCTGTTTATTGTATTGAGCTCACGAACTAGTGTTCAAGATTCAAAATAGCGATTTGTAGTAAACAGTGCTAGAAATTCTAAGTTCGAGTTTAAAATGTTGACGCCATTATTGATTTTCAAGTTAAGGGGGGGAGTAGTGCAGGCCTGTCTCATATTATGTAAAAAATATAGTTTAAAAGCAAAAACGGCCAAGTGCGTGTCGTACCACGCGCAGTGTAGGGTTCCGTAGTTACCACAATATATTTGAGCAGGAGTTTTTATTTTCTATATAAGAAATTAGTAAAACCAAATAATATCAATCTTTGTATCTCAACTAAAATACCTAAATCACGAACCCTCTGTCCTGTTCTGATTACCATCTTATCTCCATATTACCATTCCTCTTAAAAGTCCTTGAACACCTTGTCCATAAGCAGCTCTCTCTGCATTTGTTGTCCAATAACCTATTAAACGCATTCCAATCCGGCTTTAGGCTAGGTCATAGCACCGTTACTGCTCTTATTCAGGTGACTGATGATATCAGGCGTGCTATGGAGAATAAGTCCCTCACATTATTATTGCTTGCTTGATTTCAGTAATGCTTTCAATGCAGTTGACTTCGACATTCTTCTAGGCATACTTGACTTCTCAGTCGGTGCTGGTTCGATTACTATCTCTGAGACCGATCCCAAAGTATCCGAATAAATGACAACCTCTTGGACAGGTGCACATTATCTACGGGAGTTCCTCAAGGAGGCATCTTATCCCCGCTACTTTTTTCACTTCTTATCAACACCGTAACCAAATCTTTAAACTGCAGCTATCATCTCTACGCCGACGACTTGCAATTGTATCATCATTTCCCCGTTTTCGATGTTAACGGGGCTGTATCGGCTCTGAATGAAGATTTACATTGCATACACAACTGGGCTAAATCGTATGGGTTGCGTGTAAATCCCTCAAAGTCTAAAGCTATGATATTAGAATGGACATATATGACGAAATAATTGGATTTGAAGTTGCTGCCACCCATGGTATTTGATGGCTCAATTATTTCTTTCTCCCTTACTGCCAAAAATTTAGGAATCACGTTTGACAGCAACCTAAATTGGAAAGCTCACGTTAACGAAGTCAGTCGTAAAGTATTTTCCTCTTTTCACACATTAAAATCCTTTCAATGCTATTTCCCGATTGAAACAAGAATTTCTTTGGCCCAGTCACTGATTCTCCCCAGTGTGGACTACGCAGACGCCTGTTATCTGGACATCACAGAGGAACTTTTGACTAAGCTTGAACGAGTACAAAATTTGTGCATACGTTTTGTTCCGTTTAATGACTTACTGCGACCGCCGTAGATTATAGTGGACTTGTTGTATACCGATAGGGCTAGTAGGTGAGACAGAGATAGGTTTTATCCGAGGTACACACACACAATCATGTTCCCAGTAAGAAAAGTGCGCTTACCTTTGCTGTGATAGAGGGGCTTGAGCTGGCGAAACCGTGCAAATAGCCGCTTGTGTTTGGAGGCCCCGTGGTCCTCGCTGTATCACCGTTACACCAGGAAGCCGGTCCGTCCGTCCGCTTAAAGCAACCGTGCCGAAGTGGTCGTTCCGAAGCCGTAGAGCGCCCCCGATGCCGATGACCGTTACATCCGGGAAAAACCCAGTATATCCCTTGTTAGGGGCTGGTTCGCTGATTGGCCGGCGCGCAGGCACGCCGCTTTGTCTTACGCACCAATGAGGCGCGCCACAGTCAAGGCGCGCAAATTCATACCGGGAAGCGTCATGATGTGCGTGTACATACCCTCCCCCCCCGAAATGATATGGCATAACATTAACCTACAAGGGCAGTCGACAGAGCTTGGACACAGGTCGAAGAAACGTACTACTGCGTGTCCTAACTTCAGCAACACGGTTAACCGAATCCGAACCAGGTAAAAGTCTAACAATCCGACCGCGTTTCCACTGCAAGGATGGGTAATTGTCCTCTTTTATTAAAACTAAGTCATCAATCTTAAGGGAATCCGTATGAGAGGTCCACCTTTTTCGTTGTTGTAGCGTATGTAAATATTCATCGCGCCATCTTGACCAGAAGTGTTGCGTTAGCTTTTGGAGTTGTTGGAATCGAGATAACCGATTTAAATTAACGTCCTCAAAAGGATATTCCGGAACAGCTACTAAAGGCTGGCCAATAATAAAATGACCCGGGGTTAATACTTCTAAGTCATTAGGATCCGAACTCATAGGGCAAAGTGGTCGGGAATTCATGACCGCTTCGATTTTAATGAAAAAAGTAGTTAGCTCCTCAAAGGTGAGCCGTCTATCACCGAGTACTCTATACATGTGTGTCTTAGCTGATTTCACGGCTGCCTCAAATAATCCGCCCATATTAGGACTGCTTGGGGGGTTAAATAACCATGTTATATCGCGTTTTATTAGTTCCCGTTCAAACTCCGAGTTATGGTTTCTTAAATAAACATATAAATCCTTCAGATATTTATCCGTACCTACGTAATTAGTTCCGCAATCTGACCGTATTAGTGAGGGTAACCCTCGTCGAGAGACAAATCTAGAAAAGGCAGCGACAAACGCCTCAACCGATAATTCCGAAACGATTTCTAAATGTACCGCTTTTGTACTTAAACATACGAAAATACACAAATAACATTTTAAAATTTTAGCATTTCTTAGTAAACTACTTTTTATAAAGAAAGGTCCCGCAAAATCCGTACCTACACCCTCAAAGGCTCGCGTGCATCGAACGCGGTCTGGCGGTAAATCTGCCATGAAGGGTTGTTGAAGCCGAGGCTTGGCCCTAAAACATTGTACGCATTGAAAGGTGACAGTGCGTGTTAACCGACGAACGGATAGTATCCAATAATTTCTGGAAAGTATTGCTTGTAAAGCATTGGCACCTACATGACAATGTAATTTATGATGATGCTCGACAAGAAGCCTTGTAAACTCTCCCTTTCCCGGAAGTAAGATAGGATGTCGCGCCGAATAAGGTAGTTCCGAATGCCGAATTCGTCCGCCTACCCTGATCACACCATTCCTATCCACAAACAAATTAAGTTTTCGCGCCGAATCACGAATCGCCTTGCCTAATTTTAAGGCCCTTATATATTCACCAAAATATGAACCTTGAACCGACCGGATTACATAAGTTAACGCCATGCGACGTTCCAAAACCGAAATATTTTTACCGAAGGAATAAGAGACCGAAACATTTTTGCCAAAATATGTTTTTCGCCGACAATTATTTATAAACCTAATTACAAAACCGATAATATTGACAACCGTATCAAAGGAACCAAACCGACCAAACAGGTCCGAAATAACATCCGAAGCCGAAACTGTAACCGCCACACACCGTAACCGTAAGCCAGGTAAATCTGAGGGAGCCTCCACATGCTCGTCGGGCCAGGACTGACGTGATCGACGGAGCCACTGGGGTTCCCACCATATTGGATTCTGTAAGGGCTGGGCAGCTGAACAACCCCGAGACGCAACATCCGCACAATTGAGAACACCGGGTACATGTCTCCATTGAATAGGTAGGTTCGCATTATTAATTTGCGACACTCGATTACCTTGAAAAACTTCTAATTTGTGAGGTGGAGTACCTAACCATGCTAGTACAATAGTGCTATCGCACCAACCAATGATATCCGATATAATAACCGAGAGATTACACAAAGCCGAAAAAACATGTTTTAACAGATTTACTAAAAGTACTGCTCCACTGAGCTCCAACTGAGGTATAGTCATTTTCGTTTTTAATGGAGCCACCCGAGACTTAGCCATTATTAGCCGGACCGAAGCGTCGCTATTTCCATTTTCTGTACGCAAGTAGACAGCGGCAGCGTAGCCCAAAGAAGAACCGTCACAGAATCCATGAAGGGAAAACAACTTATCATTGTGGGACTTTAAACACCGAGGAATGGAAATATTTTGAATAAATGGTAAGTCCGAAACAAACTCATTCCACTTTAGGACTAATTGTTCAGGAGCTGGCGTATCCCAATCCACACGCCGTGCCCCATCATTTAACAACTCTTGCAGCAATAGCTTTGCACGAAAAACAATAGGCCATATCCAACCTAAAGGATCAAACAGTTTTGCTAATGAGGAAAGTATGCTACGCCGTGTGACCGTCTCAGTTCCCGAAGGTAAGTTCCTGATTTTATAAGTAAAAGCATCTGTCGAAGGGTTCCATTCAATGCCTAACACTTTAACAAAACCTCTGCTGTCACTATCCTCAAAACAACGAGGCATCTCACAATGATCATCCGGAATGCCATTAAGGAGTAAAGGTTCATTCGATGCCCATTTTCGCAACTCATAACCGGCCGTACTCATGAGTCGTACTAGCTCGTCCCGAAGCTCACGAGCGTCTGCAAGTGTGTCAGCACCTCCATTAAGGTCATCCACGTATGCATTGTTAAGTAGCAACTTAGCTGCTCTGGGAAAGCGTTCCATTTCATCCGTAGCTAACTGATGCAAACAACGTATTGCAATAAATGGACTAGACTTCAACCCGTAAGTGTTAGTGGTAAGTTCATAAATCCGCAACGGCTCCGATGGATTTTCACGCCACAGGATCAGCTGATATCTGCGATCATCCGCATGAATCCACGTCATCCTAAACATCATTTTCACATCGGTGGTAAAAACAAAGAGAGGTACTCGAAAATTTAAAATAACCAAAGTTATATCATTTTGCAACTTTTCACCGGAATACAAACAATCATTAAGACTAACACCCGTTGTCGTTTTACTACTACCATTAAAAACAACGCGAATTTTTTTGGTGTCGCCCGAAGTTTTAAATACGCCATGATGAGGCAAAAAGTAGTGTTCGTTACCTGAATTAATATCAAAGTTCGAAAGTTGCATATGACCGAGTCGTAAATATTCGTTAATGAATTGAATGTATTTTTGTTTAAAGGAGGGTTGAGCTTTCATTCTTCGCTCTAAAGATAAAAATTGCCGCACCGCAAGCGCTCGAGAGTCACCTAAATCGGCATGATCTGGAATCAATGGTAACCGCACCGTGTATTTGCCATCCGAACAACGTTGAACTGTGTTGACCAACAGCTCTTCACATTTAATATCAACCGGGTCCTTAATTTTAAGTTTGGGTGGTTCTTCCGATTTCCAAAAACGCTCAACCGCTTCCACTAAAGACACACCCGCAAAAGGGTCCGTATTATTTTTTTTTATATTCCCACACATGGGCCCGAAAATCGCAAAATCAAAAATGGTATCAATTGCATAAGGTCCACCCGGCCGTAAGGTCACCTTCCTGCCTTCAATAATTTCACCGAGAACATCACAACCAAAAATAATATCTACTTGCGAACAATCACCAAAGTCGAAATTAGGGGAAACGTAAGTTGTCGGAGTCTTTAACACAACTGCATTCACTGATAACAATACCGTACCGTTATTATTCTCCCGTCCCGAACAAAAATGCAGCTGGACAATATAATTGCTACTTTGACCCAAGTTACCACCGACTCCCGTTAAGGCAGTAACCGAATAATATTTCTTTAAACCTAACCTATTGACTAAATCACTACGAACTACCGATACCTGTGAACCAAAATCTAACAATGCCCTAACCTTAAATATATCACCGTTAACAGCAACAACTTTAACCGAAACCGTGGGTAAAACGACATTATTAATTAATTTCGGAACCGGAGGGCCGACCGTTGTATTCTGATTCACCTCCGAGTCCGAAGTTAATTGCTATTGAGCAGTATTATTGTTGTTGCTGATACTGGAAGGATGAATGAAATCCGCGGCGTCCGTATCCACCATAGCTGGCATAGACCGAACAGATGGGAAACCTGAGTTGGCCGACGCCGGCCCATAATTAAAGGCGTGTACCGTCCGTTCATTTTGAGTACGGTCATTAAAACTATGTTGTGTTGGTGGTGGGCAACAAATCAAACTATGGTGGCCCACATTTCCACATTGCTCGCATGGGACATTTTTATTGCACCGATTTGCCAAATGACTGCCGAAGCATCGGAAACAAAGATTGTATTCGCGTATCCACCTTCGCCGTTCATTGCAATCTCCTTTCTTAAACTTATAGCAGTTATCAATTACATGCCCCGTAGCTGAACAAAAGACACAGGACAACCCACTGTGCGAACCGCTTTCATTGCGACGCGTAGGCATAACATGTACCGCCGCCATTCCGGGCCGTGGAGGGAACACGTGGTGATTTCTCCGAACCGTATTTTGGTGGGCTGCCTGTGTAAACTGCCCGCTATTTCCTACATAGTGGCGTGGCATTTTCGAAAG